GGAGTTTGGGGCGGGGGGGGGGAGGGGTGGGAATCCCTTCATGGGTGGGGGGCAGGGTTACAGGGCCAAGGGGAGGTGGGGAGGGGGAGGGTGGGGGCGGGGGCGGGGGCGGGAGGGAATGAGATCGATATATGGAGTCCGTTCTCCCCAGTTTCCTCTCTTTTCTTCTCGTCTTCCGTTTCCTGATTCTAATATTCTGAACGCATAACCATTTCCCGACCATCATCATCGAACATATCGTTCTCTTTTTCCAGCACCATGACATGTATGCCGTCCGATACTTCTTCTGCGAGATGCTGGCCCTGGTCAACATCATAGGGCAGCTATATCTCATGAACGATTTCTTCGACGGGGAATTCATGAGCTACGGAAGCAGGGTGCTGTCCCACACCCAACTGGACCAAGAGGACCGAGGTGACCCCATGATATACGTCTTCCCACGCATCACCAAATGCACGTTCCACAAGTACGGGCCGTCGGGGACCATCCAGCGCCACGACTCCCTCTGCATCCTCCCCCTCAACATCTTCAACGAGAAGAGTTACGTGTTCATCTGGTTCTGGTTCATCATCATCTCCACCCTCCTCGCCTTGCTCATCCTCTACCGGCTGATGATCATCTTCCTGCCCTCCGTCAGACCGACCATCTTCCACTTCTACAACCGGATGCTGCCCAAGGACACGTGCGAGGCCATATGCCGGAAGACGACCCTGGGCGACTGGTGGGTCCTCTTCCTCCTCGGCTCCAACATGGATCCGCTCATCTATCGGGAGGTGATGGCCGAGCTTGCGAAGAAAATAGAGACTCATGCTAGCAACATGTGAACACTCCAACGCTTATTCCTGGGGATTCGTTCTTAAACCGAAAAAAGGAGGATATCGATTCGGATAGAATTGCCAATGCCACGTGCGAATACCGCGGCATTGATCTCTCGCGTGTAAGACAGGGTTTCGCAGCCAACATTTCCAGCCCCCTTCTCCCCAGACAAGATTTTATTTTTAAAATGTCAATATTCCAGATTCATCGTAGGTGTGATATTTGGTCATCGATCCGAACGTTTAGACTTGTGCTCTCGAATCTCGCTAGTTGAAGTCCTAAGAATCGTGGGGCAACCACGATGGTCTAGATAGGAAACGATAGCTTCCTCGAGTTCCCAACAGAGCTCGCGAGTTGATAGGCTTTCTTGTGACCGTAACTTCTTTTCCGTTTAAAGCGCTTTTTTTGCTATTTTTTTTTAACTCAGAGCTATGGATATTGTGATATACATAGGATATATATGTGTTTTTTTTTTTTTGGGCGACCTCCCGGCTGCGGTTTGCTGTGCTGTGTATATAACTGCTATTTTGCCGGACTC